AGACAGACAGACAGACAGACAGACAGACATAGACACACAGACAGACAGAGAATTTCTGGGGCTGGCCAGATAGCTTAGTGGATTAAAGCATCTGCTTAGGCAGACACAGGGACTGGGGTTCAATCCTTGGCCTGCTGTGCCAGCCCTGCCCCAGGGGCACACTGGGATGCCAATTGCGACTGTGCGTGGTGGCATACACCTGTAATCCCAGCTCTTGGGAGGCTGAAAAGAGAATCACTAAGAGTCCAATCTGTGTAGTGAGACCCGGTAGACCCTGTACTAAATACATTTAATAAAATAAATAAAATTAAAAAGAATTAAAAATAAAAAGAATTTCTGTGTTACCAAAAAAATACTGTTTTATATTAGAATTTAAATAGGACAAATTTAAGTAAAACTTATATTTAGTACAGGTCTATTTTTATAGTCATTTATCTTGTTTTCTCATCTTGATAGAATTTTGCATCTTTTCTAAAATACTGTAGAATTCCAACTTTTGGTGTTCCCCCAATGTATTCTGATTATGCAATAATTGTTTTTCTTCATGAAAGAAGACTAAATAGAGTTTGACATAGTCTCTGACAAATATCAACTCAATAAATGGTAGCTATCATTAGCATGGTTGCTAAGTGGTGAAGGAAGATACCCTACATTGTTCAAAGCTCACATATACCTTTGGCTCTTCAGCTTTCAGTTGGCCTATCATTGTAGCTACTGTACAATGACAGTGACAAGAAAGACCATAGAGAATAATGGAGGCTATAAATAGGGAATTTGGTTTCAAAGGACTTACCATTTAAATTGCTTTAGTTTTAAAACCCAAGGCCCCATGCACTGTTACATCATCATCAGAAACTGACAAGAGAGGGGCAGCTGTCCTTTCTGTTCCTCTCCTAGTTGATTGGCACAGATCAAAGGAAGGGAGGAGTCAGCAATATTTTGTTGGTATGCTGTAGCTGTGGATCCCACTCAAAGTATGTGGTTTTTGATCATTAGATGCTTTCATTCACAATGTCTGATCCGAAGGTAAGCTGTATGCTTGGAATTACAATAACAAATCATGTGGGGCTCATGTGACATGTCAGGGTTGCTTCTAGGGCCAAGGATTAGTTAGTTACTCATTGACTTTCACTGTGTTTGCAATATGAAAGTCACAAGGTGCATATTTTCCACTCTTGTATTTGAATTAGTAGTAGGTAATTGTGCCAGCATTTAGAACACAGTAAAACCTGACAGACAACCTGCTTCTTTCTTTCTTTCTTTCTGTCTGTCTGTCTGTCTGTCTTTCTTTTTCTTTCTTCTTATGTTAGCTTGTTAGTTGCATAGAGTAAGATGACAAGCTCATTCATAACTACTTTTTCTGCCAGGTCATTTTGCCAAGAGATCTTATTATGGATCCTGGAAAAGCTGGAAAGGAAGCTAGCAATTGCCAGCCTGAAAGGATTTGCAGGATTGGACAAAGCTGTGCCCTCTCTCCATCCTCTGTGTCAGTTTAGAGCTGCCAACAAGGGTGGCATTATGATTACTATCAGAGAGGCTATTAGGTGAGTTTACCCATCCTTTACTGTCTATCCAGATTTAATTCTAACCATAGGGCTGTTCTGTAACTCTACCACTAAGGGGCACTGATGGAAAAGAAACCCAAAACTCAAGCCACTGAGGCTTTTGCTATTTATAGTCTCTAAATGAAATGTGAGTCTTAAATGATCCTCCAGGTTTTTTCCAAGATGCCAGCTAATAGGAGGTGCAATTTACTGGAGCCTCACAGCTCTGCATCACAACAAGCCCACTTGCTTCTCAGAGCCTTAGCCAGGATCAGAGTAAAGGGCAGCACATGTTCATCCTCAGCACCAGAATAATCCAATTCTGTTTCTGACTCACAAAATGGTATATGTGTGTGTAGTTAGATTTCTTCCTAAAGGAAATGATCTGGTAACTGTATTTTGTGGTAGTTTTATAATGGGGGCTTATTTTTTATAAGAATTTATTAGAAAACAAACATTGGTAGACTAGATGACTTATTTCTTCAGCATCTCTCAGGTGTTTTTTTTTTTTTTTTTTCTGGAGCTGGGAGAGAGCCTGGTACATACTCAGCAAGTGCTCTACTACTGGGCTATGTCCCCAGCACCACAAATACATATTTTAAGTTATTTCTATTTTTGGTGATCTGTGGAATATAATATTACCAAAGAACATAAATTCCTGTTGGTCATAGATTTTGACTAGTCCAGCTACTCTGTTAGATTTCATATCACATTCATATACTGTTTGTTGAAGTGTTTAAATATAATTTAATTTTGTTTTCTTTTTTTTTCCAGTACCTGGGATTGAACTCAGGACCTTATGCTTGCCAGGCAGGTGCTTATGCCACTGAGCCATCTCCCTGGCCCATCTTTTGTGTTTTTGAGACATAGCTGGATATGTCCATTGTGTTTTTCAGACATAGACATTTTAGCTATGTAGTTCATTTGGGCCTTGAGCTGTGTAGCCCAGGCTGGCCTTGAACTCACAGTGCTCTCCTACCTTAGCCTCCTGAGCGCTGGGATTACAGGTGTGTACCACCACACCTAGCTCTAAATTTAATTTTATATTCATTGTTAACTTTGTAAAAATTTTAAAAACACAATATGATGGACTCAAGGGAAAAATATATTACCAGAATGAACTAAAGCTGCTAATTTCATGAGAGTTGTTGGACATTAGCAGGTTTATGATTATAATCATGCTCAAAAAGTAAAAGAATTTAAAATTATTTCGGGCCGGCAAGATAGCTCAGCAGACTGAGCACCTGCTTTGGCAAGCACAGAGACCAGGGATCAATCCCCTGTCCTGCATGCTATGTAGGCCCTGAGTCCAGTTATGGCGGCACATGCCTGTAATTCCAGCAGTGGGTTGGCTGAAAACAGGAGGATCATTATGAGTCTGAATCTGAGTCTGAGCTGTGTATTAAGAACCTGTACCAAATATATGCAATGAAAAAAAAATTGGGCCAGTGAGATAGCTCAGCAGTCTAAAGCACCTGCTCAGGCAAGCTTAGACAAGCACACAGGGACCATGGTTTGATCTTGGCACCACATGCTGTGCCAGCCCTGCCTCCACACAAAAAAATTATTTGGCACATTTATTTGAAAAACATTTGGAATTCTTACTACCTAGGACCACTTTAGTAATAGTGTAGAAAATTTAGCTTAGTAATTATAAATTATGCTATCTTAATAGTCTTAATACATTTCTTAGTACATGTAGATCAAAATCCACAGTCCTTACTGAAATTCTAGTTTCTCTTCATGCTAGGAAAACAATGTAATAGGCAGTGATTGAGTGACTGTCCATCCACTGCCTGAAGCAGTGGCTCTTTGAGTTCTCTGCATGGGCTTCTAGGGATCTGTAATCTATAATTTTGTGTGTGTGTGTGTGTGTGTGTGTGTGTGGCCAGCTCAGCCCACCAGGGGGCGGGGCTGGCTGGCATGTGGTGCTGGGGGATTGAACCGCGGTCCCTGTGCTTTGCTAAGCTTGTTCTAAGTAGGTGCTTTAGACCACTGAGCCATCTCACCAGCCCCTGTAATCTATAATTATATAATATGCAAACATGGTTCTTTTTCTGAAAATAGGCTCCATCATTTTCATTAGATATTAAAACTAGTCTGTATCACTAGAATTGCACAACAAAAAACCAGTCTGTATCCAAAAGGTTGACAACCACTGTATGAAGTAAGAGATAGAGTGGGTAAGAGAGAGTGAGAGAGATTTGTCGTTTTGTTATTTGCCCTCAAAGGTCTCTCATGACAGTCTCCCAATTGGCTGGGTCAGGGACTTTGGTCTATATCATTACTTAACATTTTCTCTGCCCAGCAGAAGTTGCCATGAGCAGTTTCTGCAGATTTTATGCAGTAATCATAACATTATTTTCAGAAACTTATACAGACTTTATTGTTCAGTAATCACATTCATTCTGCTCTTTTTTTTTTTTTTTTGGCAGAACCAGGGATTGAATTTAGGCCCTTGCGTTTGCCAGGGAAGCTCTTATTCTATGAACCATCTCCCCAGCCCCCATTCTGCTCATTTTTCTGGATTCTTATATACTTTTTTTAACTAATTGCTATTCATTTTTGTGGACTTTTATATGCTTTCTTAACTAATTGATTCATATACGTTGAAATTAACTGCACTTTCTCCTGTGGCTCCCGCCCAACCCCCCACTACCTATATCTTTTCAGTGGTTCATCTGAAAGAGTAGAATTCCTTTGAATGACAGCCAAGGCCTATTATTTCAGATTATTATGGAGTTTCACAAAAGATTATTAGATTTAGATTATTAGATTTAGAAGATTATTATGGGGTTTTAAAAGATAATATCTCTTGGTGGCACTGCCAAACAAAATCTTTCCCTGTGTTGCAGTGATGAAGATGAAGCCCTGTACCAGAAGTTGTCCTCAGAGCAGAGCCAGCTGGAGCATCTGGGGGACTTGCTCACCTGTTGTCAGGACTGTGGTTTGGCAGGAGACTTCTTCATCTTCTGTCTGAAAGTAAGAAGTCCGTATAGTTGTTCATGATCATCTTTATTCTGAGGTGGTCCCTGGCATCCCTTTGAATTTTTAAGGTGTTTGTAATTTTAGGTCTTACTATTTGGGTGCCAATTTAAGAAAATGAGCAGAAGACAAAAGGATAATTTCATTTTTCTTAGCCTTTGAGTTGGTGAAAAGAAGAAATTTATCTTTAGTCCAAGTGATGTGCTCTAACTACTTTTGAAGGTAATCTGCCCTGAAATGCTAGATGAACAAAGCAGAGTTACTCGTCTATGAAAGGGTTAATCTCTGCTTCATGTTGACAGTAAGAACTCTTTTGAAGTTAATAGTGGGTTTTACAGCTATGGAGTAATCCCCCGTCCTTTCTGGCAGTTGTTTTGTCAGGTATTTGGAACAGAGATTTAGTGTACTGCTTCCCTCATATTAGTCTGTAGCCACTTGAAATCTTTTTTGAGTTTCTTTCTTAGTACCAGTGCTTGTGTTTTCTTTTGTCCTAATTTCCAGTAATAATTTGTGCCTGTTAACATTATACCCATTGGATGTCATCAGCCAGTGACCTCCAGCTTTGCTCTCTCCACTCATTCCCCTAAAGAAAGTCCTGACCCTAAGATAGTATCTGTGAAGTTCAGGTTGGGGAGAATGTATGAGGATCCAAAGAGGAAACTGTGGTTATTTATTTATTTTGGTTTGTCGAGATAGGGTCTTGCTGTGTAGTCTAAGCTGTTCTTGAACTCCTATATATTCCAAGCTACCCTTGAATTTATGACAATCCTCCTGCCTCAGCTATGATTACAGATGTGTGCCACCATGCTGGCTAGTGAACATTTCTAGAACTTAAAGGGAGGATAATTGTTTTCCCCCTGCACTGGGGATTAAGGCCAGACTGAGCTATATCTCTCGCCTTTTTTATTTTATTTTTATTTTGAGACAGCGTTTCACTAAGTTGCTAAGTTGCCCAGGCTGAGCTCAAATTTGAGATCCTCAAACCTCAGCCCCTCAGACTGGCTGCAGGCATGTGCCACCATACCCAGCTAGGCAATGCTTTTTTATTTTTGTATTTTAGGGAAGGTTCTACAGGATGTTCAGGGTCTCACTACTAGATCACACTCGTAGTGATTCCCCTATTTATAGCCTCCCAAGTGCTGGGATTACAGGCACACGCCATCCCGCCCAGTCTCAATTGCCATCTCATTGGCCCTTGGGGGCAGGGCTGGCACAGCAGGCCCAGGGATCGAACCCAAACCCCTGTGCCTGCTTGCAGGCACTTTAATCTGCTGAGCTATTTGGCTGGCCCTTAGGTGACACATTTTTGGGTGTACTCTTGTTCTTACCCCCATGCTCACATTCGCTCCAGTGCTCAGCCACTCACTGTAAGTAACATTCCAAGGAGATGTGTGCTTAGTTGTATGATTTTTTTAGAAAGATTGTTTAAAAATAAAAGGGCTTTGTTCTAAACCAGGATAACTGTACCTTGGCACATTTGACATTTTGGCCTGGATAAATCTTTTTTTTTTTTTTTTTATAAGGAGTTGTGCATTATAAGATATTTAACAGCATCCCTGACCTCTACCCACTAAATACCAGTATTACCCCCCAATTATGACAACAAAAAATGTCCCACAGACATTGCAAAATGTCCCCTGGGGAGCAAAATTGCCAGGCACAGTTAAGCACCACTGCTCTGAGCTGCCAATTACTGTGGTAAAGCACTAATTGTAAAGGAACTTAAGGTTTTCCCTTCCCAAGAAAATTTGCAAAGGGTAGGTGAAAGCCTATAAAACCCACAATAATGAATTATTCATTAGTGGAAGTTTAGTTCTGAGCATTGTAAAGGAAGGGCTTCTAATGATCTTTAAAAGGACTTTGGGAAAGTAATATGGCCTAAGGGCTCAGTTCAAGGAAGGCCAATGGTAAGAGATCATAAAAATACTGATAAAATAAGAACTCTATCAAACCAGTTCTTTGTGTGTGGTATATTTTATTATACAGTCTGAAAGTACATGGTATCATAATGAGTATATTATCCTACAACTTACATTTTTTATACAACAATGTCTTTGAAGTCTATATTGATACCTATATAAATCCAGTTCATGTATTTAACTACTTTGATATAATAAATATATTATTCATTATTCTCTTATTCTGGACACAGGTTTTCTCCAGTTTTTGGCTATCATAAGTAGTGCTACAACAAATGCAGACAGTTTCTTTGCATGTGCATTTCAAACAGTTTTCTAGCTGTTGTTGAAGCCTTTAGTTTTACTGACTTTTTAACTTTTTCTTTCCTCTCCTGCTTCCAGGAGTTGACTCATCTGACTGTGGAAAATGAAGCAGAGTTAAAACCTCAGCCCTTCTCTAGCAAGAGCCTCTTGGAATTGGAACACCAGGCTCTCCTTGTGGAAAGCCAGGAGCATAAGCTGCTTGTCCTGCAGCTACTGGCTGTTCTGTGCGAGAAAATGTCGGAGCAGATATTCACAAACATCACTCAGGTCAGGAGCTGCCACATTCTGAATCCAACCAGTTGGTATTTATAGTGGCTTTTTAAACTTCTTTTTTTTTTCCCCAAAAAAATGTCCAGAAATGTTGCTCTGAATGTGATTTGATACTACCTGAATCCATATTTACTGACATTCTGGGGAAGTATGCAAATAACAGCCCACATCAGACCAAATGAGTCTAAAACTTTCTTACATCCTGGGAATTCACTTTAGCCCCTGAGGTGATTCTCATGCATATAAGACTCTGAGTGGTTTTAAGCATTTATATGTTATTATCACAGTGGTTTTCAAAATTGCCTGGGATCTTTTTCAAAGTATTGATAGTGATCACCTTTTAGAGATTCTGATTTAGCTTATCTACATGAGAACTTGGGAATCGTTTTGTTTGGTTTGTTTATTTGAGATGGGGTCTTACTGTGTAGTCCTGGCTGGCCTCCTTGAACTTGCTATACTCCTGCCTCAGCCTCCTGAGTGCTAGGATTACAAAGATACCATCATGCCCTGCTTACCTTATTTTTTTAAAGCTCCATATGTATCATAAGTTGAAAAAGAAATGCTAATAAGATGACTTTAAATCTTATAGGTCCCCTAACTCATAGCTAATTGCTACAGTATCTTATAAAAATTTTAAGATGTTTTTATGAAATGCTTGCCTGTGTGAGTCAGTACCTGAATTTTGTTGGCTCAGTCATTCTTTTTATCACGTTTTTTTAAAATGGGAAAGAAAGGTAATAAATCGTAGGCATTGCAGTCACCACATTTTACCACTTCACCAGAAGTGGTTGTTGCCTGCTTGGTGTAGGATAGTATGATCGTCATGCTTAAATCTGATTCTCTGGCTCTTTGTGTGGCTGTCATTGTCATCTGCCTTCGGGTGTTGCTAAGCAGCATTTCACTATAGCTCCTGCTGAGAAAATTTGCAGCTGCCTGTCAGCTCTGCCTTATCTTGCCTGTTTAATGAGAATTATGTTCATGATTTCTTTCGTGGCCTCTTATTCCTCTAGTTCAATGACCCCATGTTCGTTGGTGGGGTGATTTGTTTCTCCTGTGTTCATATCCATTCTCAGAAGACTTCCAGGCCTTTTGTTTTTGTCTCAGAATGCTAATTCGAAGGAGAAATGGCCCAGAAACTGATGTGACTTGAGCTTTTGCACTTATCTTCCTTTGCTCCTAATTAAGGAATATGGTGTTAGGGTGGTACAAGAATGGTGTGTCCCATTAAATTATCTTTCAGCTAAGAATAAAATGTATCAGAACAAAAAGAATCACAAGGAACTAATAAATTGCTGTTAGTGATCTTACTGCTAGTGATAGTTTATATATTGAGTCACATATATACAGATAAAGCTAATAGGTCTTAAGTGGTTTTGTTGATATTATTAGAAACCAAGGAAAACCTACAGATATAAAATCAAAGAATTAGAATAAAAACCCTATAATATTGCTATCTAAGTTAGAATTATTAACATGAATTCATATTTGATTTTTCTTTTAAAAAATAAATATTTCCTAGTACTGACCACTGTAGGTGCCAAAAAACAGTAACAACTCAGTGCCATAGACATCCTTCATGCCATAGTGTAGTTTCTAAATACCATTTTTATCTAAAAAAAGAAAAACTCTTAAAGCTCTTTGAAATAAATGTTGAGTTAAGGTCTGAGGTAAAAGTCATATTGCAAACTTCAAAGCAGCTTGTTGTGCCCCAAATGCAATGAGGCTATCTCGGGTTAATGGTGTTAAATCAGTAGAATTTGGGAGCCAACTCAAAGTGAGTCCCAGGGGGTCTAGATAGGACAATTGCAGCATTAAACAGAATAATGTCAGCTGAACATGGTGAGACCTGCCTGTAGTTTTAGCCCTCTGGAAGGCTGAGACAGGAGCATTACAAGTTTGAGTACTACCCAGGCAATTTAGTGAGCCACTATGGCAAAATTTTAGGAAAGGAGGAGGGGACTAAAAATGTAACTCAGTGTGACAGTCTCGGGTTCAATTCTCAGGACCATTGGGGGAAAAATGCTGATAGTGGACTAAAACATCAACAATACAAAAATACGAGGTTAAAAAAAAAATGAGAACATCTTTAGAGATTGTTAGGACATGGACTCTTTATAAATTGAAAAATAAAGTGAAGACATTGTTTACCTTGTCTATACCAACTGTATTTCAGTATGATCAAGTAGTGAAGGAAACTTTTTCTTTCTTTCTTTTTTTTTTTTTTTTTAATGTATTTGGTACAGGGTCTCACTATGCAGTTCAGACTCATAGTGATCTTCCTGTTTTTAGCCCCTGCAGCCACCATGCGTGGTCTCAATGGCTGGCTCAGCCTGTGGTGCGGGGAGTTAAAACCTTTTCCTTGCACTTGCCTAAGCAGGCACTTAGTCTGCTGATCTGTCTTGCCAGCCCAGGACTTGTTCTTTATGGAAGAATCGTAGCCAAAAGTTTAGCAGAACAGTATTCCTACAAATCTTTCTTCTCATTGAATTAAGAGAAAGTAGCTGTGTATCTATCCTACTTTGTATATATAGATACAAAATGGTCCCTCCTTTGTATCCCTTTTTTTGTTTAGTTTTGTCAGAGATGAGTATTTCATTGCCATTTAAATATTGTAGGTGTGTGAATTCAGAAAAATAATCTAATATACTCCAGTAGTCCATAATAGTAGTGGGTTTTCCATAGGACTGGCAATGTTAGAAGTTGTTGACTTGAGCTCTTTACAACTCAGCGTATTAATATGGCTTTGCATCTTGTACTATGAATAACCACTACGAAGACAACAATATGCAATGTATTAATTATTGAAACTGTCCTGTTAATCAGTTTTGAGACTGTTTCATTGCTATTTGTTTCTCAATAAAATTAATAAAAAACAATATAATAAACAAAAAATGTATTATTTATAAGCAAAAAAAGAAAAGCATATTATGCTGGCAGGAATGACAATTGATATGCAGAAGTATGCACTTAATAAAATAATATGTGAAACAAAAAAAATAAGGAAGAATTTTTTTAAAAGTTTAGCAAGAGAACTAGAAAATTATAGTTTGTATAGTTTGGAACTCTGATGAAATAATGGATCTAAATAATAATTGTCAATGGCTGCCAAAACTGCCAGGTGAACTACTGGTGAGGTACTTTACAATGAAGTCTTTTTTTTTTTTGGCGGTGCTAGGGATTGAACTTGGGACCTTGTGCTGGCTAGGCAGGCGCTTTTGCCAATGAGCTATCTCCCCATCCCTAAGGTACTTAATAATGAATATACTAGGTATAAAACACCCAAAGCAACTGATTGACTCCCCCTCTAACATCTTATTATGAAAAATTTCAAATTTGAAAGTATTTAAATTATTTTATTTGTGGGTTTTGTTATTGTTTTATTTTGTTTGTGGTGCTGGGGATCAAATTCAAGGCCTTCCCACTGAGTTTTATCCCCAGGCTTTTTAAAATTTTGAGACAACAAAGTTCCCCCAGCTGGGTTCAAATTTGGATCCTCATGTCTCAGCCTCCTAGAGAGCTGGGATTATTTGTGTGTGTCACCAAAAACAGCTCAAGTTATTATTTTTTGGCTTTAGGGTAAGAATACTTCCTGAGTTCTTACGTACATGAGAGGGCATGTAATATTTTCTTGTCACCTATGGTGGTGTAAGATCTGTCTATGCTAAAATATTTAGTGGAACATATACTGTTATCTACATTAATGCTGAAATATGCCAAAAGAAAAAGAGCTAGAGAGATCAGTATATAGACAGGAATATGATAAAGCAGCTGGACATCATAGTGTACACCTATAATCCCAGTATTTTAGGAAGCCAAGGCAGGAGGATCCCAAGTTAGAGCCCAGCCTAGGCAATTTACTGACTCAGTAACACTCTCAAAAGAGGGAGGGATTAGTGGCTTGAGTTTGGGAGCCTTGGGTTGGTTGGTGGTTTGGGTTTCACTCTTCAGTAATGCAAAAAGGCTGAGATAGGAAGAGTCTAAGTTTGAGCCCAGCAGGTCAATGTTTTGTTTTTTTTTTTTTTTTTTTGGTACTGGGAATCAAACTCAGGGCTTCATGCTTGCCCAGTAGGCACTGTGCCATGGAAATATATCCCTGTCCCAGCAGGACAACTTAGTGAGAGACTGTCTCAATATTTTAAAAAAGGGTAGGGGATGTAGCACAGTGGTAGAGCAGCCCCCAGTTTCAATCCCTAGTACTGTACCAAAACCCCAAATATCCTGAACCTGAACCTAATTAAGGAAGCACAGCAAACAGAGGAGCAAATAAAACAGTGCCACAAAGAAGCTTTTGGCCAAATCCATAATATAGGAAATTCTATGTCACAGGTGACTCAGTTTCTTCAATAAGTAAATGGCATTTTGTTTGTTTGTTTCTTTCTTTCTTTCTTTCTTTCTTTCTTTCTTTATTTATTTATTTTGGCAGAACTAGGGATTGAACTCAGGCCCTTGTGCTTGCCAGGCAAGTGTTTATTCTACTGAGCCATCTCCCTGGCCCCAGTAAATGGCATTTTAAAAGGAGCAATTAAACTAATTGTATGAAACATTTTTGTAACAGTCAAGGACCAGGTATTAGATATTAAGGAATTCTTGTTGAATATAATTATGTCATGGTAGATATGTAAAAAACAAATTTTATCTGTGAGAAATGCTTGTTGAAGTATTTGATTAAAGATTAAATTTCAGTAGAGTCGGTTGGGATTGGCACATAGTATATATGATGTACAGAAAGCAGTGAGGCACAGAGTAGTCTGTGTACTGATCAGAACCCTGCGTCAACTCCTGACTTCTCTCTTTCTACAGTTATGTATTGAGAGCTGGCGGTGTGCCACATACTGTTCTGTGTAGCAAGGTCACAGCAGTGAACAAACAGGCACATATTTATGCTCTCATGGAGCTAACATTCACATAGGGAGAGAGAAACGATAAGAAAGCAAAGACACAGTGAGTCAGGTAGTGAGAATTCTTAGGGAGAAAAATAAAACAAGAAAATGTATGGTTAGAGGAGGATAACTGGGATTGGCGGTTCACAAACATCTGTAATCTCCACACTGGGAGACTGAGACCCAAGGAGCCCAGTGACTAGTGGGATGATGCCTCAAAATAAAAAAGGATTGGGAATATAGCTCGGTGCAAAGCCCCTAGGTGCTGCAGGGTCTAGTACCATAAAATAAATTAATTACAATAAAAAAAACTGGTGACATAGTTGAGTGTGAAGGCCCTGAATCCTCAATGATGAAGAACCAAACCGTATCAAAGGGGAATGTAGTAAATAGGTAACCATGGAGAGTCACACTGAGGATGTGACTTTTGAGCTAAGTGCTCGGGGAGAGGAGAAGGGGCCTTTGAGATATGTAGAGAAGAGGAATCCAGATGGAGGCCACGTGGCACGCCCTGATGTCCTGCATGGCCAGACCGCAAGTAGCCGGCATCAGTGCAGCGGAGTGAGCAAGATTCGCTTTTCTCTGCCCTTAGAAAATTGCCCCCGTCCCCTCTGCCATAACTGGATCACTGTCCTGGTGTTTTTTCTTTTACAGATATTAAAAAAAAATTGACATAGATAACACATGCTCATTGTAAAGACATGTAAATTACACAAAGTGAACAATATATAAAGTGGTTAAAGACAGAGTTTGTACACATATGTCGCAATTAAACTAATTGTATGAGACATTTTTATAACAGTCAAGGACCAGGTATTAGATATTAAGGAATTCTTTTTTTTCCCATAATTTTATTGATAAACAAATAGCAATGAGACAGTTTCAAATCAAACTGGTAGGACAGTTTCAATAATTAACACATTGCATACAGGAATTCTTATTGAATATAGTTATGTCATGGTAGATGCATAAAAAACAAATTTTATCTGTGAGAAATGCTTGTTGAAGTATTTGATTAAAGATTAAATCTCAATAGAGTTAGGACGAGCAGAGCAGGAGAGAAGAGACAGTAAATAGAAGAGAACAGCAATGTGCTCGCTTCAGCAGTGCATATACTAAAATTGGAACGATACAGAGAAGATTAGCATGGCCCCTGTGCAAGAAGAGAATAGCAAAATTTGGAAGCTGGAAAATAGTAGCTGATGAAGCAACTTGAGAAATTGGAAAGCTAAATGTCTGCATGGAGAGAAGTCAAGAAGCAAACTCTACCTCAGTAAAGCTGTTAGGATGTTTTTTGAGAAGAAAAGGGGAACAGGAGCAAGAGACTTTTCACTGTAGAACGAAGACAGGCCTGGAGGCACCAGATAAGCGTCGCTGAGGAGTTGGGCATAATATGGTGTGAAAGGCTTTGCTTTCTTCCCCAACTTCATACAGCTATCTCCCCTTCCCAGTGAAAAACTAGAGGCTCATTCGTGAGAGATATTGAAGCCAAAGGACTTTGAATTTGGGTGGGAGGAGCAAACTGAAAAGCAGGAGGCATGTGGAAGTTTGCGTCTTCCACTTGGTTGTCAGCACTTTGGCACTATGTTTGTACATCCCCGTAGGATCATTAAGAGGATTAAATGGCTTAATACCTTGAATGTGTTCAGAATGGTGCCTAGTAAATAGTAAATACTTAGTGTTATTATTAAACAGCGAGATAATTAAAAATGGTTGCCTCTGTAAAGCCAGAATTAGCTAGGGAGAAATGAGGTGCAGCATAGCCATTTTTCACTATAAATTTACAGGAATTTTTGGCTATTAAAATTACATGTCATTATAATAAATCTGAAGTAAAAATAGTCTCCCTTCCCTCTGCACCATACATGGATACTAGAATCGCCTTTGGTCGCATCCCTGTTCTTGTGGCTAGCAGCCCTACCAAAGTCACAGGAAATGGGTTGTAGGGGAGAGTCAAGTGGGTAGAGTGGTTTTTGTGTACAAGAAGAAATTTTGAGGGAAAAGGTGTTTTATTGATGACAGTGCATAATAGCTGGCCATCATTTCCTAGTTAAGAGCTCCTAATTTTATTTTCTTTCTTTCTTTCTTTCTTTCTTTCTTTCTTTCTTTCTTTCTTTTTTTCTTTCTTTCATGCGTTTAGTGCAGGGTCTCACTGTATAGATTGGACTCCTAGTGATCCCAAAATGCTGAGATTACAGGCACACGCCACCACGCCCAGTCTCAACTGCTGTCTCTGCCAGCCAGCCCCAGGGGCAGGGCTGGCAGGGCAGGGCCCTGGATCAGACTCTCCCCCCCCCCACAAGTGGGCACCATAATCCGCTGAGCTATCTGGCCAGCCTTGGCTTTTTTTTTTTTTTTACATGCATACAAACAGGAAGTTTCTTTCTTAAAAATAGAATCATGGGGCCGGGGAGATGGCTCAGTAGAATAAGCACTTAACTGGCAAGCACAAGGGCATGAGTTCAATCCTCGGTTCCACCAAAAAAAAAAATAGAATCATGATGTCAGGTGTGGTGGTCCATACCAGTAATCCCAATTATTAGGGTTTGTGTCTAGATGTCCCCCACAAGCCTTATGCAGTCATGAGTGCAGGCTTCTAGAGTTTGTGATTGATTCCTGGTGCAAGTCTGAGATTAGAGGTGTTAATGCTATGCCTCTGGAGCAGGTAGCCTGCATACAGTGTAAAGGAGGGAAAGATGATTGCTTTCTGCTGCTCCTCCCTTTTTGCTCTTGCTGCTTTTGCTGTTTTCCACTTCCATGAACTGCTGCCCTCTGCCATGTGCCACTCTGCCTTGGACCCAGCTGAGTGTGGGCGGAAAGCTCCACAAACTGAGCAAAATAAACCTTTCCCTCCTTAATTCTGAGCATCCAGTATTTTGTTTTACCATCAAGAGAAAAGTAACTAAGACACCAGTACTCTGGCAGGCTAAGGCTGGAAAATCACAAGCCAGCCTGGACAACTTAGTGAATTTGTGAGACCTTGTTTCAAAAATTAAAAAGAGGGGCTGCTGAGATGGCTCAGTGGTCTAAAGCACCTACTTAGAACAAGCTTGGCAAAGCACAGGGACCACGGTTCAACCCCCCAGCACCACATGCCAGCCAGCCCCGCCCCCTGGTGGGCTGAGCTGGCCACACACACACACACACAAAAATAAATTTTTTTAAAAAAGTTAAAAAAAAAATTTAAAAAGATTGGGATATAGCACAGGGCACAGACCCTGAATAGGATCGTACTTCTTATTTTGCAACCTTTAAAAAAAATGCAGAGAGAAACAGAAAAAAGTGGGAGACTGGATAGTTCTATTCTAGTAATTTAGCAATACTTGTGCTGACACAGAAGCTAAATATAAATAAATGTTTTAGAAAACTCTTTGGAAGCAAAACAAGTGGCCTAAGATGGTAGGGACAGCAGTTTCTATAGAAGGGGCTTTAATTTCTATTATCAGTCTTAGGGCTGGAAAGAGTGTTAAGATTGCCACAGCCAACATTGTTTCTTTCAGTAAGAGGAACTTTTAAATAACCTTTCCAGTTTCCTTCTTTGCTCCAAAAGACAAGTGTTAACAGGCCACTTTAAGCTTGCAATAAAGATTCTAGCACAGCATGTGATTTGTCCAGAGAATTAAACATGCAAGCTTGCATGGTATTTAGAGGCTTATGATGGCCTATCTCAGCCTTCCCATTTTTGAAATGATGTCTCTTCCTTGAGCCATTAATCCTAAATATGCATGTGTGTGCGTGCGTGCGTGCATGTGTACATGTATGTCTGCTGTCATTTATTCAGAGGTGTTTCTACTTAAGGTGCTTAATCCAAGCTCAAAGATGCTGACCAAATTAATTCTATTGAAGCTTAGTTGTTATACAAATAATATAAAAATCTCGGAGAATTTCTGCTGCATTCTAGGGACCCCCAGATCCAGTCCTAGCCCAAGCCTGGTGAGTGTGTGGGAGAGCTTCCAGCTACCCTGTGCTGGCTACCCTGTGCCTTCAGGACCTACCGGTCCAAGCCCAGGCACAGGGTGGGTGAGACCTTCTTCCACCCCTTTGGAACCCCCCCATCTCTCCGCAGCACACCCCACCCCCGCCGAGTAGGAATTTCTGCCCTGTTCCGGGAACCCCCAGATCCAGTCCTAGCCCAGGCCTGGTGAGTGTGTGGGAGAGCTTCCTCTCCCCCCTACTCCACTTTGTCCCCTCCAGACTCAGTTCAGGCCTGGCATAAAGGCCTGGGCTGAAATCCTGTAGCTGCAATCCCTGCAGAGAGAGTAGGGGACAGAACCACCCAGCTAGGCCAGGAGCAGAACATCTTGCCAGAGGTGCACAACAGGTTCACTACCAAGGGCGGCAGCAGGAAGGAGCTGAGCACAGCAGCCAGACCCAAGCCAGGCACAGCTGGATAAATCCAAACTTTGTAGATCTGCACCTGAATTTCAGTAGGTGCTAAGGTTATAACTGCACCAAAGCTCTACAACAAAGGTCGGAAGACAGTGCTATGCAAAATGACAAAGAGAAGGGGCAAAATGCAATCTCAGACCCCAAGGCCACCCATAGCAAGTGCAGAGGACACTAATACAGAACAAATTGGGAGCCACACAGCTGAAATCAATGAATCAACAGCTTCTGAAATAAAGAAACAACTGCAGAAAGGTACA